CTTCAGTCGAGAAGGGAAAAAATACTTTTTTTTGTTCTCATAAGAAGTTTTCCCAGTAAACACTTTTACCAGACAAGAAAACAGACTTGCAGACTAAACAACTTGTTTATCGTCTAATTCATGTGACCAGTACGCTTCCTAACTGCAACGTCACACCAGTCATACTGTTGGAAAGCTAAATGTTTGTTCATGTTTTTCATGGTTGAGTAGCTTCATAAATGGAACAAAAATGCACAAAATAAAAGCACATTTGAAGCGGAGTGTGTCTGATTTTCAGATGCTCTGCAGAACAAGTGAAGCACAACAACAAACTAACAAGTAAACGCAGCGTGAACACACAGCTTCAGCCTTTTTCTCCCATTGTCCCAGATTTTTATGGCAGCACTAACATGTCAGCTACAGGCAAAAACAACATCAATGCAGTCATCAGTCAAAGGAGAGAGAGGGCCTGTAAAGAGTGAGGGAGAGGATGGAAGAGGGAGAGAGATGGGAGGAAGCGAGTAAAAGATGCAGAAAGAGAGAGAAGAGATTAAAAAGTCTGTCACATATTGTCGATTTACAGTTTTACCAAAACAGCCTTGTTGGCGTGAACAGTTCTGGAGTCTGTTCTCAGCAGTGAACAGCTACACTACATGGCCAAAAGTATGTGGACACGAGATTGAACATAGGGTGCAGGAAGCAGGTTTATTCCGAATAAGAAGATTACTTATTGATGACTGTTGTTGAATCCTAAATGAACCAGAGTTAACTTATTGGAACAGGGGTACTGCTGGTCCACACTTCTCTTCCTGATAGTTCCCATTTGGATCCACCATTGCAGTGGTTTTTAACCATTCAATTCACCTCCGCTCACTATCTTGCCATCACATTTTAGCTCATAACCAATCATGGGTGTATGCGCAGGCTACGTGCATGAGCGTGGCGGTGCAGCAGGCTGATACTGAAACAAAACAAAACATAACAGGAAATGCAAAAGTTATTTTAAAATTCACTTCAGCGACCTCGTAGTATTTTCACTTAGAATGTTGGAGTATTTTGAAAGTATGTGTTTTAAAATTAACTGATTTCATTAAAAGACATTCCTATGCGTACCACTAGAGAAAGCTTAAGTACCAAAATCTTTCAAACTGCAGCATTAAGATAGGCCTTCATAAGAAACTATGGAAAGCAGCAGGACAGGAGAGCAGTTTCTCAAAATCTTCGCGTGTTTCTTTAATCTCTGTGTGGCTTCACAGTTCACAGCTACTACTTCTCTTTGGTCTGAATTTAGTCCAGAAAGGTGTCAGCAGGTCACTTCTGCTTTTAACAGTGTGAATGTTGAGTCACACTTTGAGCAAAATATCTTCAGGTCTCTCATTTGTCTGTTTTTGATCTTTGAGTTTCCGTCTCTTTCGACTGTTCCATTTCTTCCTCTCCCTCTCATTATCATCACTTTGATTTCTGATTTGTTGATATTCGTTTTTCTCCAATCTTTCTCCATCTTGTCTTTTCACTGCCCTCCTCTCTCTCATCCCATCTCTTCAACTTACTACCCTCCGTTTCTATCTTTATCTACCTGTCTCCTTCCATCCATCTCCATCGCTCGCTACCATCTCTCTCTCCATCACATTCTCTCTCCTCTTCATCTATCTCCCTCTTTCCTTCCTTCCTCTCCTCTCTCCCCATCTGTCAGCTTCTATATCCCACCTAATCTTTCTTGATCGCTACATTTCTGCCTGCCTCTTTTACATCTCTGTCCCTCCATTTCTCTACACCTCTCTCCATCTCTGTTCTCAGCAGCATCTCCGTCGCTCTCTTTCTTGCTCTCATTGGCTCTGTGACTTCTTATTTTAATCACTCTGCATGCGGCCCATGAAATTTTCAGAGAGACGACCCTCCAGAGGGAGGCCAATGTGTAAGTAATGCAGAACGTCAGCAACCGAGCTGCGACTCTCACTGTCCCTGGAAGAAAAGGCACTTCAATAATTCAAGAGAGCCTTAAACAGAGAAAACAAGCTTTGTTCACTGAAAGACAAGAATGGAAAAAAAACCAATGAAGGCAGAGAGAAGGAAAAGACAGATGGAATAAACATAAGGTTGTGTCTATTTTTGCAATCCTGATATCCACTCTGCTTATCAAATCTCAACAACCACAGTTCTTGACATAATATTTGAGTGAGATAAGAAACTAAAAAATATGTCGAAGTGTAAACCACGCCTCATTTGGAGAGGATCAACATTACCTGTAACTAACTTATCTTCACTTGTCTGCGATTTGCACATTGCGATTTTGGTAATATTTCGATTAATTGTGCAGCTCTAATTATTACTAATGTAGGAAGAGAAAAACCACATATGCACTCCAGATGGGATAAAAACGACAGACGTGTATTAATAATATTAGCGATGTACCAATCCAACTTTTTCTCTCCCTATACCGCAAATAAGGCTACCCGCCTGCACTGAGCACCAATCCGACATCAGTACTCAATTATTACTTAAAACTGAAAATCTGAACATTTTCTATGAAATCATGTCAACACTGATTGCCGATCCACTTAATTAGGTCTGTATGCTTGTGCTGACCCTGCATACCCCTAATTAAAGTCACCTAATCTCCTTTAAAGAAATTAATCCTGACCAAAACTTGGACTTTGTGCTTCCAATTGGCTCGTCTGCGACATGAAATGTTGGAGGACAGACAAAAATTGTTACATTTTTAAGGCAAGGAAAATTGTTTTACCTGACAAGTATGAACAGAATAGAATAGCTTTATGGCTACTGAATATATATTATGTGTGACAGTCAAACAACCCCTAATGGCCTTTAAAACCTTTTATTGGTCAAATCACAGCAGAGAGAGGAAGACAAAGGACGAGATAGGAGGACAGACAAAGAGGCACACAGAAGTCTCATCATCAGTCAGAGCTGTCGAAGAAAGACGTTCTGGTGAAATGAGCCTTTAGATCATAACAGACTTTCCACTGACCTTCACATCGTCCCCATGGCGATAAAAACAAGACACGCTCAGACTTCAGAGTCTGTATCGAACACATTTTGTCTCTTTGTTTAATGAAATTCGCTGCCATATACACACGTTTCTCCTTCATTCATTCAAGGAGGAATGGCCCATCTACCTGTCTCGTGGTTCACAGGTATGACCCCAGGGTTTCAGAAATACCCTGAATCTGTTTGTCTGCCACAATTAACACAAGAGAAGATGGAGGGGGTTTGGAAGGAGACAATATCTGTATTCAAAGTGACCTGATTTGACCAATTTTCCAGGAAATTCAATTATTTTTTATCTCAGTTCTCAATCCAGTCCGGCAATTAATTGCCTCTAAAGAGGAAGCACAATCTGGGACAATAACATCCATAACGGACGGCGGTTGAAGGCCATGCAAGCGTCCTTTCTGTCCCAGAATGCCAGACCCACATTTGATGTCGCTGTTTATTGCAGGAGAGGTGAACAAACTGCGGCTGGCCTAGATATGTGAGGGAGCTTCAGGGTTGAACGAACCACAGACTTCAACAACAGGGAGGCAGCCTCGGCCTCTGATGTCCGCTTCACGGTCTTTAATAGGGAAACCCAGATAGATCCAGGCTGCGGTTGGGAGTTCAGGGAAAAGTTACAGCAAGAACTCACTTTTTAGACAGGTTTAGTCTGCTCTACATGTGCCAGGATTTACACAGGGAATGTTTAACCAATCAAACATACTCCATTCAATCGGTCAACTTTAGTTACAGCAGACTATCTGTTGGACCTAAGAAGTATAGGATTTTAAAGATGACGTTACTCAATGAAACCAAAGACAGACTTGGTGAGTTGTGAAGCCATCTGGTAGCATCAAAATAAGCCTGCACGATTATTTGAAATATTATCGAAATTGCAACATGACCAAGTTCAATGCAAAATGTAAGAAGCTGTAATTTTTTTTATAAAAAGGTCAAATGTGTGACAAAACAGCATAATAATGAAGTACTGTAGTGTTGCAGAGATCCCCTGCCCCACAAATCTTGTTGTGTAAGAAAACATGTTTGTTGGTACAGACCCCAACAAATGTCACATCATCATGGTTTTAAAAGAAGAAGAACAACTACTTTTAATCCGCAAAGGGGAAATAATTTTTGTTACTCAATGTTTACACACATAGGCCCGAAATACAACCACACACACACGGGGCTTACAGACAAACAATCTGAAGTGATGGTGTCAACACTCGAACATATGTGGGCCGTGCTGGACTTGAACCAGCAATCCTGAGCTACTGCCGACCTTGTAATAGTTGTTATTGGTGACAAATTTAAATTGTGATGAAAAAATTATAATTCCCACTAATCGTTAATCATATCGCAATTACAATATCTGTTAAAATAATCGCAATATGGCTTTTTTACCACATCGTGCAGCCCTTTAAACAGTAGAGGAGGGACATTAGGAGAAAATGGCTGGAGGGGGGATAAAAAATAACATCCTAAAATCCTGCAGAATGTAATTGCTCAACTTGACAATATTTTGTCTTAATTAGGTTTTTTATCATATTAAATTTTTCTAAACCTTTAAGCCACATAATGCCCAAAAGCTTGAGTCTTGCGAGCCAAGAATAAAACACACACACACACACACACACACAATTTTTACACATCATTGAACGTTCTTACTGAGTCACAGTCAAAAGTAAAAAAAGAAACCGGCACCCAACCACAAAACGCTGTCAGAGCTGCTCCAATGACATGCCTGCCAGAGACATTATGCAACAATTGACTGGCCAGCGGCATCACAACACAACAAACACACAAACA